TTAATTGTCTTTTGATGCAAAAGAGCTGGGTGAAATCCTTGGTATTCCTTCTAAAGGTTATGATGACTACACTAGGCAAAAATGGCCAAGTCTGGACTCCCTTCCTACTACCCTAGCCATTACTAGGAAGTTCTGTGATAGCAAAGAAGTGAATGAGGCCAAGGTTGTGTATAAGAGTGAAATGAAGCCATCCTACAAAGTGCTGTTTGAATTCGTTAACAAGTTTTTGCTGCCTAGGCAGTAAAGAAGGCACATTGCCAACTACATAGACTTGGTTTTGATGGAGTGTCTGGATAGTGGGCGGCAGGTCAACTGGCCTGGGTTTATGATCAAGCTACTTGATCGGGTTATCAATGGCTCCAAGGCCCATGCCACTCCTTATGGTTTCATTCTCACTACTGTTCTTGCTCATTGTAAGGTGCCTCTGAAGAAGTGGGAGACGGACACAAGCAAAGACCACTTTGGAATCAATACTTTGCTCGCTTGTGACTATGAGATTACTGCCACTCCCAATGAACCTGGTTCATCCAAAAAGACAACTATCAATAGCAAGGTCAGAACTCTGTTGCAGGAGAGTGGGACTAAGGATGCTGAGATAGCAAGGCTGAAGGCTCGTTTGGCAGAGGTAGAATCTGAGAGAGATGCTCTCAGAACTAAGCTAACAAAGGAAAAGGAGAAGAATGATAGAATTCTTCAAGACATGCTGCACCTTCTCCAAGCCAAAACCCAAAACCCCAGGTCTTCCAAGCCTTGATTTCCTAAGCCTGAATCTTGTCTAGACCTTTTGGTGACCCAGATTAGGGATTTTTCTTGTTTTGCTCATGTTTTAACTATTTTTGTTTCTTTTTGTTGATTGTGGCAGAATCATATTCTCTATCAGTGAAGTTTGCTGCTTTTGCTCTTGTTGACTGTTTATCTTTCCTTGATAGTTTGAATATGTGTAGTTGATTACTGATGATTAATCCTTGAATGTATTTGTAGCTGCCTCAATGGCCATGAGTAATTTTTAAAATCTGGGGAGCACACATTGTTTATGCAACTTTTCAATGATGCCAAAAGGGGGAAAAGAAATTTTGCTTTATATTCTGAATAGTGATGTTTATAACCTAATGAACCTGGTCCTTAATGATAAGTTGAAAATGTTTCTAACATTGCATTGATGTTGAGCTGAGTTCTAGCAGGGGCTAAGTGTACAAAAAGCACAGAGTTTGTCATCATCAAAAAGGGGGGATTTGTTGGCCCAAGTAAAGGTTAGTTTTGAAGACTGACAAAGGAACTCAGACATAAACCAGGTTCATCCGAGTAGAGCACAGATATGGATAAACTTAAGCATGTGAGATGCACGTGAAGAAGATAAACCTAACTTGACAGAAGTGATATCTCCTGATCCTGATCGAGAAGGTTGCATATTGGATAAGGAGAAAGACTCCTTACTCAAAGAGAACACGGTTTAAGAAAGGGAAGGAGTTAGAGGTTGAGATCAACTAGAACTCTTCCACCAAGGAAGAGTAGCATCAGAATTCTAGTCAATCTCTATTTACTAACTCTATAAATATCAGTGTTGTTCTCTTTTACAGGTAACACACATAAGCAGAAGTTAAACGTGAGTTGAGAGCAAAATAACAAGGCAATTTTGCAAGCAGTTCGTGTGTGATTCAAGCGTGCAAACCTAAAGCTACTTGAACCAGATAGAAGAGCCAGTTCCAAGTGTCTGTCTTTTATTCTAGTTTAATTGTAGTAGGTGATTTCATATTGTACCTTTCAGCTTTATCTAGAAGTAATTGTATTAGGTACTCAGAGTTTTCAAGTTAGAGTTAACTTGAAGTTGTCGCAACAGTTGAGTCTGTGTGCTACAACGGGATTAGAGTTAGTCCTAGGTTTACAAAGAGTTTTTGTAAATGTTTTTTTGGCTCAGTGATTTTAGTGGGGAGTTTGGAATAATCCTACTGGAAAGTAGGTCGTGTTTTTTTACCTTTTGAGCCAGGTGTTTTTCACGTAAAATACTTGTGTTCTTTACTTTTCGCATTTACTATTTCTGCAATAATAGGTTAAGGAACACTTAGACGAACCAGGTCCTTCCTTAAACAGCTTAAGCGAAAAATTGGTCACCACACAAATCGCCCCCCTCTTGTGTGGTATTGAAGTATAAAACATCACTTAGAATCTCTCGGAAAAAAATGGGGTATTATCACTTTTAGCCCGCGCCAAAAATTGTTTACATTTAGTAGCCGAAAAAGTGTATAAAATTCGTATAATTTTTGTATAGAATATACATAATGTATATATATACAAAAAATATATTATCTTTTTTGACTATTATTTTGAGAGTGACTATATAGTGTCATTTTTCTAAAAAAGAATCTTTCTCTCTATTAGCTAGGAGTACAAGAAATAAATACCGATACTATCTTTATTTTTCTTTTACGGGAAATGCTTGCGTAAAAATAAGGGTGATTTATTGATATGGATTTTTCCATTCCTATACACTATTGGAAACTTTATTAACCTAAATGTTCATGTTTAGTAAATTACCCTACCTATACAAGTTTTGTTTACAAAATATATACATTCCACCTTAAAAGGCTCCTAATCCATTATTAGTGCCTTCAATTAAGTGATTTAGTTACACCATTTACCTTTTTTTTCTCTTCTTCTCTTTCCTTATTTTTCTGATGCACTATACTAATCTGTTCCTGATGCTGGACTTTACCAATGTTAATCACTACTTCTTCAGCCTAAGATTTTGCTCATCTCCTTTGTAATTTACAACTACAATAATTTTGTCAAATTATTATTGTTAGTTAAATACCTCCAGGTTAATCGCACGACCAGCAAATTTCAACTCATCAACGTGAAGTTGGACAGTTAGCTGAGAGAGCAATATAAAGGATAATAAGAAAGTAGTTTAATTCTCTTAATGGCTGGTCCATAGCAATAGATTTTTTTTTATGTTCAATGCACTCATTTTCTTTCATTAATTCATTCATTTTTAAGCTTTCTATTTCTATTGCAAGCATTTGCAATTTTAAAAAAGTATACTTGGTAATTCATCACTAAGATCCTTAACGAAATGATCCTAGATATTCGTAGAAGAGCACAATCCCTAATTCAACGGTTAATCATGGTTAAATGATATGCATTTTTATTTAATTAATTATCTAATTAGATGCAAACACTCGATCTGAATAAGTATTTACAATCGTCAAAATGACCAAATATTAGCCGACTAAATTTTTTGCTAAAATGTGTTGGTCCTTCGCTCTAATTATATGTGTATCCTTGAGTATTATATAATTAATCTAGGTCAAACTCTAGTTTTATATAATAACATTCAAATAATCTCACGTCATTCTAAGTGATATTACAAACTTCTACCATATTTAATCAATAATGACCCTTAAGTATTATTTTATTTATGTTTATTAAACTCTAATTTTAATATAATAACATTCATATAATCTCACCGTCTATCTGAATGAAACTTCTTCGATATTTAATCAATAATGACACTGTTAGGGTGCCGGTTATGTATTTGGCAAATTATTCTGAAAATAGTTAAATAACATACAACTTAAATGCAAATTTTATACAAATTTTATACAATATGTCTTTTGTATATTATGTATCTGATCTATACATAGCAAAAATAAATTTCATACACCTAATTATATATTATACAATTTATCTACAACTTTCACACATTATTTCTATCCAGTTAAATACAACTACAATAACATACAAATTAAATACAAATTTTATACAAAATTTATACAATATGTCTTTTGTATATTTGGTATCTGATTTATACATAGTAAAAATAATTTTCATACAACTAATTATATATTATACAAATTATCTACAACTTATCTACAATTTTCATACATTATTTCTACTCAATTATATACAACTACAATATCATACAACTTAAATATAATTTTTATACAATGTTGTTCAACTTTCATACAATAGTTAAATAAGAAAATATATAAAAAAATATAATACAATTTTTATATAATTTTTCTACAATTTTACTACAATTTCATAAATATAATGTAATATCATGTCGTCTTCTTCTTCTTCTTCTTCTTCTTCTTCTTCTTTGAGTTTCAATATGAAATTCAGCCAAAACCAAGTCTAATCTTCACCAAAACCCCTCAAAATTGAGATATAAACTCCAAACCATATTCCCAATTGTTTGCAACAACACCCAATCCAAACAAATAATGATTTTTGAAAACTCAAATTCGAATTCAAAGCTTCAAAACTTTTTAATGGCTGTCAATGGTGGAATTGCTGCTCTCTTTTCCTTTTCTTTACATTACTGAAATTAGGGATTGAGAGATAGAGAGAGACGTAGAGAGAATTCCCAATTCTTTGCAACAACATCCAATTCAAACAAATAATATTTTTTGAAAATCCAAATTCGAATTCAAAGCTTCAAAGCTTTTTAATGGTTGTCAATGGTGGAATTGCTGCTCTCTTGCGCAAGATACGCAGAGGAGAGGGGGGTGACATGTGGAGAGAGAACGGGGGGAGGGGGGGGGGTTGGGTGGAAGATACATTACAGTGATTTTAGAACACTAATTATTATCATTAATTCCCTTAAAATGTACATAAATGGTAATTGGATATATAAAATATAATTATAGTAAAATTTGAGTAGGGAGGGTAATATAGTTTCATATAGTGTATAGGAATATAAAAATTCCTTACTAATATTGAAACCCTCTATGTCCGATAATTTTTCACCACCATTTAGATATATGAAAATAATTCACTCAAGTTTTTGTTTATGTTTATTAAAATTAAACCTTGTCGTTCATGATCCGTTTTTAATTGTAAGGCCATAGCTTTGATTGTCTATGCCAAACTTTTAAGAAAGAACAAACTATACTAATTTCAAAATTAGAGGAATCTAAAGAGACAAGACTTCACATATTGGAAAATTTTCTTTATCTCTAAGAAAGAATTATAGAATAGAAAAACTACCACTAAAACTCTAAAATCAGTTAAACGTTTATAAGTCATGTTGGTATGGCTGATACATTACCTAGAATACATATGAATAATTCCAGGAAATAGGAATTTACAACATTAATCTTTATCCTTTTCGTTCTTGAGGAGCAAATTTCCCTCTTCTAAACCCCCACCATCCCAATACAAAAAATAAAAAATAAAAATGAAACTCTAGAAAATCACAAGAAAAAAAAAGATTCGCTTTTACATGAAGTATCAATCTCCCACCTCTCTTTTCAGCAACTGTACTAAGAAATCATTCCAAGTATCAATGGGTCCTGGCAAACACCAATGAACACAGTCATTAGGCACTGTAACGTTAGGATTAGGCCATCGACCATATTTACTAGGATGACCGTCTGGTCTCAACAACATAGGTTGTGTCGCATCAAACAACCTAAATTTCAACCCTGTTCTTCTTCCTGCTCTTTGAGCAATCTTTAGTTCATCTAATTGAATCTTATAAAACTCCAAATTATAATCGTCCAATACTTTCTCATTCCTCTTAAATGGCTTAGTCCTAACACAATCTCCACCTTTATCCCAATACCCATTCTCAAAATGAGATGGTGCAAAAGTCCTCAAAAACGTTACCCCTTTATAATTTTCGTTACTGTTAATGGCCCGAAATGCTGTCCGAAAAGCTCGTCGATAGCTGAAATACGATGTTACATGGCTAACGTTGGCTTCTGGACAGTAGAGGCAACCGACAAGTCGGCGGTTTAAGTAAAACATTGTTGGTCGGAAAAACCAGTGGCCAGCAGAAATTATCACATAATCGAAACCTTGAATTTGGCTTGTCCAAAATTCATCGAATTCGTCAAGATATAAGTTGAAGGGTTTTTGAACATCAGTTGGATCAGTTTTTTCAGTTTTTACCAAATAAGGTGCCCAAAACATGGAAATGTTGAAGTCGTAGTCTTTGTATATCCAGCGTCTGTTTTCATCTTGCGTTTCTGAAACATCTTCCGGGTATACTACCTGAAATAAAAACCAAAGAGAAAATGAGAATAAATGGAAAAAAGTTTTCAACATATGAAATACTCTGTTATGCCTGTAGTTTGTCCAACAATATTGATAAGGTTTTGGACTATAATATGATAGCGCTATAAGAGAAATACACATATTGTCATTGATAAATGCTCAAGCTTCAATCATGCAGAAACTTGTTTTTCTTGTATCCTATCTTTATCTTTGGAGCTTCATTAAGATCTTATGCAAGTTATGTCTGCTTATTTCTGTTCCATAACGATCATAGCTATTTCATAGTTTGCTTACTCTGTTATAGAACCAGTCAGGCCAGAGGTGTATATCCAGGATTTCAAGAACACGGATGTACCACGAACGCCAAAAACTCTAGTTTTCGAGATTGTGTCTAACAGATATATTTTTGGTTTAAGAATTTTAGAAGTCAAATTAAAGACTAAAAAGAGAAGGATAAAAAATAAAAAGAAAAATGTGTAACCAATAAAAAGGGAAAAAAGAAACAAAAAAGTGTGTTTAATTAGAGGGAAAAAAGGCAGGGGCATGGGGATTTAACCATATTTAGTAATTAAAATATAATTTAAAAGAAGAAAGAGTAGGGGAATCGAATCCCTGACTAAAAGGCACAAGGTGCACCTACTTACCGATGTACTCAAGTGCTCACTTGAACTTGGGTTCACCCGTGTTAATTTAAGTATTTGAGCTGAAATATACTAGTGCTAAGCATGATTTAGGGAGCGAAGGATGTGTTCACGTGAACCCACCCCCTCCCATTTGTATCAGCCCCGGGTCAGACCGAAACTAATACTATAGTATTATGAGGATTAAGTTGTAAAGTGGCTGCGCTGTTTTTGTTCGTCGGAACATTATACTGTTTAACTAGAAAAATTATTTTCTTAAGTATATATAATATAATGTTGAATCTCCTTGGTCTCTTGGTGTGTTTAATTCTTCATATTTTAACTCTCTTTTTCTGGCATCCCCACCAATCTTCAACAATTCCCAATTGCCAACCGACAGAAAAAGCTTTGTACAAATCATGCAGGCTAAGCACTTTACAAGGCTTTAGTTTTCAAAACCTGAAGTTAATGTTTGACTTATTGCGTTCGTCATACATCAAACCTTAAACTCGTGGGGTACTTATGTTGAAATTTAAGTCAGACAAGGTCAACAGAATTTCAACCCACAATGAGTTTACATGCATATACATCCAAATAAAATAGTAGTAAGAATTAAGTTAGCAAGAATGGGATGTAGTAAATCCAAGTTGAAAGGACAAAATGAATAAGAATTAGGATTATTTATTTAATGAAAACGAATGGTGATAAGAAGAACCTACGTACTCTGGACAATAGACATATCAATGACTGCATATGATTCCTTGCAACAGAATCTCCAACAAATGCAAGAGACTTGCCTTTAACAAGTTCCAGGAATTGAACAGGGTCAAATATTGGCAACTCACAACCATCTGGTTGCCACCTCCATTTCAAGTATCCATTATCAGGCCTCCCAAATTTCATGCAATTTTGATGTTGTTGAATTGCATAACATGTCTCATTTGTATAATAAGGCCCTTCTGGATTTTCCACCCATTCCCCTGAAAATAAGTCGCAGTATTCACTATCTGATACTTCTGACGTCAAACTTCTAACATTATCATCACTAGGTGGTTTCTTCTCAACTTTTTCGGCGACTTTAGGAACCGTGAAGTCGCGTTGACGATGGCTGGATTTTTTTCTAGCACGTTGATCATGCCTTTCAAGTTTTTTCCTGGGTTCAGGTACTCTTTTATCCTTTGTATCACTTTTTGTTTCAAATTTTGTACTTATCTCATCTTGTGATTTCATGGGTTTTTCTTTTTCTTCTTGTCTTATGGGCACGTTACAAGGTTGCGTGGGCACGTCCTCCACGGGACATGGCTGGTTGACTTGCAAATCATGTTCCAAATGATCAATGGGCTGAATTGATTCTTCCGAATTAGAAGAAACAGCTTCAGAGATTTTCTTTTGAGAAGAATAACGTATAGAAGGATAGTAAATAGGAATAATGGTGAAAAGTATGGTAATGGCAACAAGAGGAGCAATTTTTGGAGCGCTACTCTTTCTTCGTGTTTGTGGTTTCCCTATTGGAAGTTCAGAGGATTGGAACTTCATGGATAAAGGTTTGTGTGGACATAAGCAGATAATTAACGAGAAAATAATTAAACAAAGGGAAGAAGAAGAAGAAAGAAAGAAAGAAAGAGAGAGAGGTAACGAGTGAAGAAATATTAAAGAGAGTTTATGAAATATACGCATGTTGCGCTATGTTCATTAATAAAGTGATGGTCATGTCTTTACCAAACTTAGTAACACCATTAGCGCCAAATAAATTTGTGTTGATATGATATATGATGCTATTAAATTTAGTACACATTTTAATTTATGGGAAGCTTATGCGAATTTCATATTTGAAAAGAAAAGGATAATGTCAGGTGTGAGTGGCAAACAGGCGGGTCGGGTCGGATATGGTTCGGGTCGAAAACGTGTAATGAAAAAACGGATCAATTATCCGACCCGACCCATGTTTAATACGGATAAAAAACGGGTTAACCGGCGGATAATATGGGTTACCCATATTATCCATAACTTCTTGTATATGATCACTTTTGGGAAAATTCTTGGTCTCCCTAACTTGAGGAACCCCCAATTTGAGGCTTTACAAATGTAATAGTTAGACCCATTGGTTATCCATTGGTTACTTATTGGTTATCCATTTTCTAAACGGATAATATGGTTCTTATCCATATTTGACCTGTTTTAAAAAAGTTCATTATCCAACCCATTTTTTAGTGGATAATATGGGTGGTTAACTGTTTTCTTTGAACCATTTTGCCACCCCTAATGTCAGGTAAAATGAAATATGGGATGTTCGCAAGTAGAGCCGTCAAAATGATGTTGGCAAATATCAAATTTCTTGTACGGTCTAAGCAAAGGGATTATGTCACGAAGAAATCCTTATAGATTTGAAGTTTTTTTAATATTATAAAATACTGAAGGGTGGCACATCCTAGCCTATGACCCTCTTAGAACTGGGTTCGGCTGGCCATTTAGATGGCGGGATGGGCCAGCCTAACTCATTAAATTCAAAAGCCTGCGAGGCTTGGGCTGGATTGAGTTGAATTGGGCTGGTTCGTGTTGATAGCTCTATTCGCAAGTAACTTGACTGGCTTATTTGACACATCTTATTTGGAGCTTTAGCTTTGCTAATTAGCCCAAATGTATGAAGTTGTGAACTGATAAAGTTTAACTTTAAATCCTCGAATGCTTGAAGTTCGAATTGCCATTCAAAATGAGTTAGGTTTTGCTAGTTCCCAACTTCGGACCCGAATAAGTGAAGTTTGAACTTTCAGATCTAAGGTAGTTGATTCCAAGATGACTAAAATTAAATTTTGTAAATATTGACGTTATTTTGTGTAGCGGTCCTCCAATCAGCATTTCGCCCAATCTGTCTCAGACTGCTAAACAGTGCCCTTATAAGGCTGGCCCACAAAGATATAAGAAGTATATGAATGATCAAGACTTGCTGCTAGCAAGCCCAATTCCCAGGCTACAAATACCATATGGTTTTGGACCCTATATATCCATCTTCACAATTCACATGTGCCATACTTCCATAATACCATTCTAGGGAGGCAAACTGGGGGGTCGGGTTGGATATGAGACGGGTCAAACAGGTAATAAAAAGACAGATTAAAAATATCCGACCCAACTCATATTTAATACGGATAAAAAACAGGTTAACCGGCGGATAATATGGGTCCATAGCTTATTGAATATGATCACTTTTGGAAGAATTCCTAATTTTTCAAACTTGAGGAACCCACAATTTGTGGCTTTACAATTGTAAAAGTTAAATCCATTTTCTAAATGATTCTTATCCATATTTGAGTCGTTTTTAAAAAAATTTATTATCCAACACATATTTTAGTAGATAATATGGGTGGTTAACTGTTTTCTTTTAACGATTTTGCCACCACTACTCCCATTCAATAACAGGTTAATCGAAGGAAAGGCGGAACACAAAATAAAGCATTTCAATGTCAAATATTCTACTCAGGATTAATTTTCAGACACATAATAGTGTAAGTAATTTTTGATTCTCAATTTTATAAACTGTCAGTGTAAAGCAATTTCCACCATCAAATTAGTTAAATACATATTACTATACGTAGTAAACAAATTAATAATGGTAAATGACATGTCACAGGTGCTAGCGTACTGAGTCCGGAACCAAAATATTGCTATTTTGGACTCAAAACACATAAATAGGTGTAAAAAAAAAAGGTAACCATAATATATAGAACGCCAGAAATAGTGGCGCTATATATTAACGGTAACAGCACCGTTAATATATAGCGCCACTATTTCTGGCGTTATACACTGTCAGAGTGATATAGCGCCAGGTTTTCTGGCGTTATACACTGACAGTGATATAGCGCCAGAAATAGTGGCGTTATATCCTTTTTTTCCTGACCAGTACAATAATTCAAAATAAAGCGCCAACTTATTTGGCGCTATATATATAAAAAAAAAATTTTCCGGCTCCCCATTTTCTATATAAAGAGGTTAGAATCGCATAGAAATGCATTCAAAATTTTTTTTATCTCTTGTTGAAACGTCTGTTGTTGTTAAATTCTCCAGCATTTTTTTATTATGTCTAAAGAGCGTAGGATAAGAGTTTCATTATATTGGGTTGGTGAGGTTGTGATGGAGAATAACTCCGTGGGCTACAGTTTACCTGCTAAGTGTCATGTTAAATTGCCACTGACAATGGAGTACGATACATTGATATCGTTATTATGCAAAAAAATGAGTGTGAGGAAACGTTCGGTGATATTTAAAGTAACCGGAAGATATCCTTATTCCGTCACTCCGCAAGGGGTTGCTTTTTACTCGGAGTTTAACATCGACGATGATGAAACTTTGAGTGATTTTTTGAGGACTCCGGACGAATGTCGGGATTTTCTTGTAATCACAATGTTGGAGATGTACGTGAAGGTCGAAGACGTTCCAAAAAATGAGGTTGTGCGTAGTAGAGATAACCCCCAGTCATCGGGGGGTTATTCTGGAACAGTTTTTGCCGGACAAGTTCCGGATGAAAGAGTTATCTTTGATTTAAACTTATCACCGCCGGTGAATGAGCAGCGAGAAAATAATTTATACCCTGCTTTCCATAACTCACAAGACGAGTGGTAAATTTTAATTTTCATTTGTGTTAATTATGTATATTTTTGTTGTATTGAATTTGTATTAACGCTCACATATTTAATAGGGGGTACCGGCCGGATATGAATTTTACAAGTGGCCCATCCGGTAGTCATCACCTAATTGATAACGTCCATCATGGAATTTTATCACATTACGACTTGTAAGTAAAGTGATTTACGGAAAATATGGAAATCATTTATTAATTTAGTAGCTTATATTTTTGTTGGTTGTGCAGTGAAAACGAGCAAGTTGAACTCACTCAATTGCCCGAAAATGATGTATTACATCGGGACCTGGCAGATGCACAGAGTGAGGAACAGAACAGTGATTACGATAACAATGCGTATGAATTCGGGGATGAGACACCCTTTGCTCGTGAGGATGGTGATGCAGAGGATGAGGAGGAAGGACCTGATTTGAAGAGAGACCCCCCTAGACGAAGAGTGTATGAGTCCGAAGTGCCGTTTCATTCAAGAGAGATTCCTTACATTGATAACTTGCCAGCCGTGTCGGATGTGGAAGCTCTCACAAGGGATTTTGATAAAATCCGGACAGCAATGTGGGATGAGTCTAGACCAACGGTACTTGCAAAGGGGATGCTTTTTCCTGATAAAGCGCGCCTAAGCAGGGCTTGTAAAATGCACAACGTAAAAGAGTGTCATGAGATGCAAGTATGGGAGTCAAGTCCGACGGTATACAAGTTTGTTTGCCGCAGGTGGTTTTGGCCATGTAATTGGATGTTGCGTGCGACCAAGAAGAAGACAGGTGTGTGGAAAGTGGGTAAATACATTCCCACCCACACATGCGAAATGGACAGATTCAACGGGAATCACTTCAACTTGGATATTGACTTGATTTCTCTTGTTCTTATTCCACACATCGAACAGTCCATAAGGTATAAAATCAAAGAGTGCATTACATCAGTCCAGCAGGAACATGGCCATACCATTACTAAAAGAAAGGCATTTCTCGGGCGCAAACGAGCGTTTGAAATAGTGTATGGTAACTGGGATAAGTTCCGGAGGCACATGGAATATATCAGGCAAGAAGACGAGGCAGCCTATCGTTGGTTAATGCGACATGACCCTGAAAAGTGGACTTTGCATGCGGATGGTGGCAGACGATGGGGAACTCTGACTACAAATGTGTCAGAGTCTTTCAACGGGTTATTGAAGTCGGCAAGAGGATTGCCTGTCACAGCCATGGTGCGGATGTCGTTCAAGCAAATGGCGGAGAGGTTCGTTGAAAGGTCTGAGGCTGCAACGTCATTAATGGAAAGGAGTGTTGAATTTATGCCAGTGCCGATGACGAGATTTGAGAAATACAGACGACGAGCACATTGGCATTCATTTTTGCAGTATGATAATGAAAGAAATGTTTTTGAAGTTCGCACCGCTATCCATCAAAATCGGGGTAATAATGTGCATACTGTAAATGAATCTGCAAGGTTATGCTCTTGTGGAAAATGGTCCATCTACCACATGCCTTGCTCACATGCCATCAAGTGCTTTCAACAAGTTGGTTTAGGTGCAACCAACTATGTTGATCGACAATATTGTGTTTCCAAGTACCTAAACACATATAGTGGTCAGTTGCAGCCACTGGGTGCTGAGCATTATTGGCCTCCTGAACCATTTAAAATGGTGTGTAACAAGTCCTATTTGCGTAAAATACAGGTGCAGAAGAGAACACGTATACGGAACCAAATGGATGTTAGTGATACAGTTTATGCGCGAAAATGTGGTATATGCTCGCAAACAGGACACGACCGTAGAAAATGTCCTTTGGGTGGCAACAATAATCAAGCTCGGGGTGGGTGTTCTTCTAGTGTACCTAACTACCCATGAGTTGATGTTGTAATAATTAGTTAATATGTGTATGTTGCCTGATTTATGAAATAAAATTATGCTTGTAATAAAATAATTTTTTTCCAAGTCCAGCACATTACCACTCTTCTAT